ACGTGTTTCAGAGCAGAATTGTACTCCATCCTTGTGTGGCCTTGTAGGATAAGCACTGGGCTGCTAACAGCAAGGTCAGCAGTTGAAACCCACCAGCTGCTTCTTGGAAACCCTATATAGGGTCTCTGTGAGTTGGAACTGACTCATCAGCACTTATCACACAAAACAAAATCTTATGAAGGAGCCCTGGTGGTGCAGTGGTTAAGCAGTCTAGCTGCTCTGTGGAAGGATACTGTAGCTGCTCCCATAAAGATTGGTACTGGTAGCAGTTGTTGTATGCCACCAAGTCGGTTCTGGACCACAGTGACCCTATATAGTAGCATTTCCAAGGTTGCAAATCTTTACAGGAGCAGAAAGCTTCATGTTTCTCCCCAGGAGATATTGGTAGATTTGCAATGCTGACCTTGTGGTTAGCAATCCATGTTATAATCTACCATGAAGAATAGAGCCTTGAAAACTTCATGGGACAGTTTGGTCCTACAGGTTGGACTTGACTAGATGGCGATGTGTTAGTTATACAGAAGAGCACCAGGCTTTTCTTCTTTGGCACTGCTGGTAGATTCAAGCTGCCACCCTGCCAGTTGAAAGTCAAAGGCAGACCATTTCATCACCTGTTGTTGTTAAGTGCGTTGAGTCGATTCCGACCCATAGCTACCCTTTATAGGGTTTCCGAGGAGCAGCTGGTGAGCTTGAACTGCTAACCTTGCAGTTCAAATGACTTTACAGTCTGGCGCATTAGCCCACAGTTCCACACCAACACTCCACCTTGTTGTTCTTATTGTTAAGTACCGTGGAGTTGGTTCCAACTCATAGTGACCCTGCACAGTGTTTCCGAGGCTGTAAATCTTTACAGGACCAGAAAGCGTCATCTTTCTCCCATGGAACGGCTGGTAGGTTCAAACTGCCAACCTTGAGGTTAGCAGCCCAATTTGTAACCACTACGCTACCAGAGCTCCTTAACGCTCCACCTAGGGACCTTCAGTTAGCTCATGGATAATTTTATTTTGATTATATGCTAAATAATATCTTTTGAGTTATATACTATTGAGTTAAATACGATATATAATGTTAAAATTAATTTCACCTGTTTTTTTTTTTTCATTTGTGTTTATAGTGGATTAGAGAAACTTGGAAATTACCTCTGTGACTCATACTGCATTTCTATTGGACAGTCTTGTTACAGGTGAACACAGGACCACGCCTCCATCTTCCCATTGTTTTTGACATCACATCCTTTTAACAGCATTGAATTTGATGATGGTTGTAAGAATCCTTTCTCTGCAGTAAGGGTGGACACAGGCAGCCCGGGGAATTGGGACGAGTGTAAGCTTTGAAGATGGAAAATTTCAGGTTGAAACATCAGCCTGATCTAAGGTAAGTTACATAACTTCTTTGAGCTGTGGCTTCCTCACCTGAAAATACAATCTGATAGATCCACCACATACATCGTTTGTGAACATCACAGAAGAGAGTACATGTGCAGGAGCTACTGTGGGCCTGGCCCCTAGTGTATCTCAGTAAATGCAGCCATTGTTGGTGTTATTATCATTCGTTGTATTTCTTAGCGTGAAGGTGTAAGGGATTGTGGTTAGTTTCTCAGGCCTTGTTGTTGTTAGGTGCATCAGTACCGACTCATAGTGACCTTATGCACAGCACAACAAAAACACTGCCCGATCCTGGGCCAACCTCACTACTGTTGCCATGCTTGAGTCCATTGATGCTGCCACTTGGCCAATCCATCGCGTGCTCAGGCCTTGGCTACTTGGATATTTATAACATCATTCACGGGCCATACAAAACTAACAACTTAAAAATTAACCTGCTGTAATGTGATGGCTTGAACTGAGACTGCCTTGGCCAGACTAAATGATTTTGTGGGCCTTATACAGCCCTCGGGCCAAACATTGCCCACCCCTGTACTAGAGGAAGGTCCCACAGTCAGAGTTAAAAATCCTGCTCACATGCAAGAATATTCTATGTACTCTTCCTTATTGTTGATTACAATGTCCAATGTTTCCTCCCCCCCTCCCTTTTTTTATGTCATCTATATGAGATGGACTTCTAGTGTGCCGCTGTAGGATCAGCACTGGACTGTGAATCACAGGTCGGCAGTTCAAATCCACCAGCTGCTCCTCTGAAATCCTATACAGGGTTGCTCTGAGTCGGAGCCGATTGACAGCCCTAAGCAACAATTTGAGATGGAATGAAAGGTATTTTATCAATATCACTATTGGTTGTTGGATTACAGATGAAGGAACCAACTTGATCGAGTAAAGGCTAATGTTGTCCTCTGTTTACTTAGATGTGGCATTCTGGCTGTGCTACACCTGAAGTGGCTAAGGCACACATGAGACTGACAGTGTACTAATGACATCCTCTGTTAGTGACAGGAAACTCTGGTAGCATGATAGTTAAGTGCTTGGCTCCTAAACAAAAGGCTGGCTGTTTGAATTCATCCAAAATCTCCATGGGCGAAAGACCTGGTGATCTAGTCCTTTAATAGCACAGCTAAGACAATCCTCTGGGGCAGGTCTACCCTATCACATGGGGCTCTGTGAGTCAGAAAGGACTTGATGGCACCCATCAATACCATGTAGGCAACACTAATTGGTTCAAGGATCTGCATTCTTGTGAATTCCTGGATAGATCACAAATGAAGGGTCTAAGAAATGGTTTATTTGCAAAGGTGATGTGCTTAGTCTTGTTATTTTCTATAGATAGGATGGTAATCCTCAGTTGTCAGGTAAACGTCATATTTCTTTGTCCTAAACATGATTACAAGGCACTATGGTAGTGCAGTGGTTATGAATCAGGCTGCGAAGCTCATGGTCAGCAGTTCAAAACTACCAGCTCTTCTGCAGGAGAAAGATGAGGCTTTCTGCTCCTGTAAAGATTTACAGCCTCGGAAACCCTGTACAGGGTCACCATATGAGTCAGAACTAACTCCACAGCACATAACAACAACAAAGATGATTACAAGAAATAATTCTACAAAGCCCTGGGAGGAGGAGAGTGAGGAGGGGGCCTGCCTTAACTGATACCATGATTATCTTTTGGAGAAATTAGAAACAAACTGTAAAGCATGTATCAAATGACACATTGCCACTCCTTACTAGCTCAGCATACTCATGGTTAACAACCCAATTTGTTGTTAAATCAGATTGAGAAAATAGAGATGGGCATAAAGTAGTGTTGGTACTACTTAGGGAAGTTACTTTAAAATGAACACAAACCAGAAAAACCACAAAATATATTACCAACTTAGTGCTCTGGCTAATAAAATAAGTTTATTTATATATACATGGTAGCGGAATTCTGTGGATAAGGAAAAATAAGTCATACATCCACATGTGTATATATAACATATGTATCTTCATTTACATATATTATATATAAATTTTACTTTACAAACAGATTTCTCTCCCTCTACAAACACACACACACACACACACACACACACACACTGATAAATGCAGTAGCTCACAGAAATATTATAAGGTTAAAAAGGCCAGATAGCAGCATGTTAGAAAATGAATTTCAGAGCAGCATTTAACCTGCTTCTTTGTGGGTCGAAGAGTCTTTGAAAAGAGACAACAACTGAACACATGTTAAACAGGTTCATACAACATTGAGAACACACATTTTTGAAGGCCAGTTTTTTAAAAAGGAAAACATAGGGAGGAAAAAGTCATGATAAAAAAAAAAACCCCACAGTAACAACACTAACATGAGTCAACATTCAAGTTCAATTCCCAATCTGACTATAATAGCATCTATATTCAAAATATACTATCAAACTATTTTTTTTTTTATTGAAAGGAAGCATTGAAGCAGATATCTTCTCTCCCACCCACTATTGATCAGGATAAAAACAGATAAATAGCCCATCTCTGGAAGTCCTTGTGTCTCTGCTGGATGCAGAGTGGGGTTGGAGACAGCCAGTGGACCCAACAGAGGGCAGCATCTTCTAGAAAACACAGCGCTGGATGGCCATTCCATGTGCTGGCCTCACTTACCAGGTCTGTAATGCCAAATATGAATAGATTTTATGGACATACATCCCCAAGTGATTCGCTTTGGCAATCTTGGTTTTGTAAAGATAAAAGGAGGAAGGTTTCTAAAATTATAGATCTACCCCAAATATGCTTTCAAGCCAAATTATGATTGCCTTTGAGGAAACAAACCCTGAACTGCCCCCAAAGACATGTGCTCCTTGATGAAGGTAAGCACCCTGAAACTGGTGCCTCAGATCTGCATCTAAACCCTCCTGAGAAAAAGGCACAGGGTTTACTATAGATATGGGGGGTGGAGGGAAAGAAGTAAGAAGTTTAAAGGGGAGATTTTCCTACCAGTGAAAGTTCATGCTGGCTGCCCTGGGAAATCCTGTTGAGTGATATTAGAGGGATGTGGCTGTAAGACGTCTTGATGTCCCTCCATGGGATTCCCGAGGGTGGCATACTGCTGCCTGCCTTGGGTAACTTGAATGGAATTAAACATGACAGCAGTTGATGAGATTCCAGGGCACTGTCTTCTGGGGCCCTGCCTCTTGGTGGACCGATCCTCTTCACTGCAGTGTGTCAGAAAGGTCAGGAAATGGATTACGTTGAACCATGAGGGCCTAACACTTGATCATTTTAACATTCAACTTGGGCTTAAGTTTTTACAGGAGAAGGGCCTGTCTCTTACCTCACCTGCCTGGGCCTTCTGGGGCCCCCAGTGACTCAAGGACTATTAGACTGTTATGAAGAGAAGCAATCAATGCAACTGCTTTGCTTAGAAATACCTTTATTTTATAAAGCCACGAATCGTTCTGTAAAGTTTCTTTAAACCACACTTATAAAAAAGATGTTGACAATTCTTAGGAAAAAAAAGCTGAAAATGTTTCTCATTGAGTCTGGGTTACACAAAGGTTATATTTATAATATATATATATATATATTTTGTATATTTATAATTTGGAGACGAAAAGTAGGGAACAGCAAAAGCAAGGGTTACTGCCATTAGATCTCAGATACTTGATCGTTTCCCACAAACAGTGTTTCTTGACAGAAGGGGTTCACCAGGACCATCCCAGTATCCCTGTAGTCACCGTTGGCTGGGGAGCGTGGCTCTGAGAGCTGGTCCTGGAGAGAGAGAGGAGATGTTATCAGCTGGGGTGGCTCACAGGGAGGTGGCCATTGGTTGAAGAAATGCACACACAGGCACGTGTATTTCCCCATGGAATTGCTTGGTAAGCCTTTTTTCATCATCACCCACTGTCAATGTAGAGGTGCTGAACTCTCTTTGTTTTTTCAGATTCTTACAGCAGCTTCCTAAAGAATGTTCCTGCTTCCTGAATCTCTCTCATCCCAGGCTGCTAAAGATGACATTGCTCTCCTGGCAGAGTTTGAGATAGCTCGCCATGCCTGGTACATGTGGCCCTGCTGACCCAGTGAGTATACCGTGGGCCCTAGCTATCTCTTACTGCCTCTTTTTCCAAAGCCTCTGGGCTCAGCCACACCACTCTGCTTTTCTCCATCCTGACTTCACCTGCTACCCACCTGTCACACTCTGAGTCACACTCTTTAAGGGTGAATTCTCCCCAGTTGCGGCCCAGCTTCTTAAAGAGGCACCGGATGTATATACTATAGCAGAGCAGCTCTGCACCTGTGTGTGATGGCATAGCATGGGTCAGAGAGAAATCCAGCCTGCCTGCGCAGCCTCAGAAGGCATCTGAATGGTTATGGCAGTGTTTTGGTCACAACTACTAATGACTTTAGAGTCCTGGTGTGGCGCTGTGGGTTAACGCGTCAGAATGCAAAATCATTTGAACTGCAAGGTCTTTGGTTCAAGCTCACCAGCCATTCCTTGGAAACCCTATACAGGGTCGCTATGGGTAGCAATCGACTCATCAGCACTTAACAACAACAACAACCAAAAAAAAAAAAAAGGAGCTCTGGTAGCGTAGTGGTTATGAATTGGGCTGAACCTCAAGGTTGGCAGTTTGAAACTACCAGCTGTTCCGTGGGAGAAAGATGAGGTTTTCTGCTCCCATAAAGATATGCAGCCTCGGAAACCCTGTGCAGGGTCACTATGAGTCAGAACTGACTCCACGGTACTTAACAATAACAACAACCAAAAAAAGGTCAGAAGTTCGAACCTACCAGCTGCTCCATGAGAGAAAGACGAGGCAGTCTGCTTCTGTAATGATTACAGCCTTGTAAACCTTGGGTGTCCTTTGTCCACAGTGCCACAGAGTCCTATGCTTTCCCACAGGGCCACTATCAGCCGGAATTGACTCAATGGCCGGAGCCTTGTTCGTTTGGTCTACATAGCTGCATTCAGATTCAGTCCAGCTATTAATGGAGGGGGATAAAAGGTATAGCTTGACCTGATTCTAAACAGCTAAAGCTTCAGAACTTCCAGGTCATTCCAGGGCAAAGACTCAACACTAGGTCTAAGCATAACTGGCTTATATGCCACACTGCTTCGAAACAACATCATTTTAAGACATCACATTGAACTCTCTCAAGATGATTTTTAAACAAAAACCAAACAATACATAATTGTCAAGGACTATGCATTTAACTATGGATAATAATAAGAGAAAGGCCATTGTTTTTAAAATGTCTTCAGAAGGCAAGAATTTTCTTCAATGGAATTAGCTGAGGATCCATCAGAAAGGTGGCCGGGGAGCCAGTCCTGAAGGATAGCAAGGCTGGATACCAGAGAGGGGGCAGAACCCTTTTCCACTGTGCTTTTGGGTTGTGACTTGGGGTGGGAGGTTTCTGGGGGCTCAGATTTGCCTTGCACTTCCACAGTTCTCACAAGAAGTGTCCACCAGAGAGCGGCAAACCATATGGAGACACTTCATTGCCTAAAAAGAGAAAATTATTTGGAATAATGAAGGCAAAAAGGAAGAAGAAAATGGAGGAGGAGGAGGAAGACAGAAGGGCAGGAGGAAGGGAAGGTGAGATGGGTAGGGGAAATGGAGGGAGAGAAGAGAAAGAGAAAAGAAAAGTTTCCAAGCACCTTTTGGGCAACACAATTGTGCCCATACAGTCTCGGGTTTATGTCTTCATGCTTTCATTGTTACAGAAGGGAAATCAACTCAGACAAGGCATATGGCAGCCTCAAGAATTGGCTACTAAAGAGCAGGCAGTAGCCCAGGTCTCATGGACACAGAATATGGTGGAACACAGGCCAGTGACCATGTCATACTCTATGGAAGGTTTGCAAACCACGTGAGTACCAGCTGTCTCCATCAAGGCTTTGGACATACCTTGAGGCCCTCAGAAAGTAGGAGCCCAGAGCTGGAACACATTAATGTTATAGTACTCTCACTAAAATAGAATGAGGGGAGCAAACCTGCTGGGAAGGGAGCAGTGATAGAAACAAATTGAAAGCTGAGCTGAGCTTTGGACTGCTGGCTCCAAGATGACCGCACAACAGGCTGATGATGCACTGCGTTCCAAGGGCCTCGGACTAAGGCCTTGGGGCAATGTGTGGGAGCAGCCCACCCAGATACTGTTGGAGCAGGAGCAGGGCCTTTTCTATAGTGCACTCTGTGGCTTAGGTTTCCACAGATCGCTCTGCAAAGACAACATTTAAAGCAGGGCTGGCCCCTTTGCCAAGTTACCTATTCTTTTCTTTGCTAGAGCAGTCGGCAGGAACACTTTATTTATTTAAAAATGTTTTATTGTGAATTATGTGATACTTTACAAGGGAAAACATTAGTTTTACATTCATCCTATTGTTTCATTGCCATGGTTACAATCCCTTCCATGCATAATCAACCAAACAAAGGTTACATCCTACAATCCTGACCCCACTTGCTCTCCCTGTCCCCGCCCCCCACTGCCCCAACCCCCCTGGTCTTCAGCATACAGACCCTCTCCCTTTCTGGATCTAAAGTACCTAGCTGTTCTCTCTCTCCACATAATCGTCCTGCATCCATCTCAGGGATCACTACTTCTCTGGGTATGGTCCTGATCTCTGCTCTTTTCCCTTCATGGTCCCAGGGACCTCCGCTCCTAGACTGAAAAGTTAATCACTCCCCTCCTTGCCACAAAATGTCTACCTTTACATTTCCACCCCTCACAATTAGTGCTGATAACAATTATTCACTATTGTATCACAAGAGACCAATCTGCATTTCCTTTCATCAGCCCCGCCTAGACAGATTGGATACAGTGGAGATTCTACCTTCCTCTATGCCCTCTGGATCTAGGCTCCCTCTTGAAAGCTTGTAAGCCAGTCACTTCTTGCCTTTGTAGCCCCCATCTCTGTGTAGTCTGTGTATGGAGGTGGTGGGAATGATCTTCGCTGTAAAGATTTGTTCCCTCTTTTGAGCTCCTGCATCCATAGGTGTAGGTCAAGTTCATCAAATTGTATCAGATTACTCTATCCCCGCCCCCCACTTCTTTCTTCTTCTAGTTGTGCTCTGATCATCCAGTCATTGAAGCCAGGTCGAGTGGTTATTATCTGCAAGTGTGGGTGTTCTTGTGCATATGCCCTCTCTTCTTATCGGCTGGATGCTTTACTCTCCTCTCCACTCCTCTGTGGCTATGTCACTGAATCTGGGCCCAAGTGTCCCCAGGTCTCCGCCCAGGTTCACAGGAGTCTGTTGAACGTTGCAGGGCTTAGCTCACAGCTTAATGCTGTTTTTTCCTCACTTCCCCTTATTGGTGACGAATGTGGTCACCAATCAGAGTGTGTATTCCCATTAAGTCTTAGTTTTGGAAGGGGGTTTATTTTAAGGGGACCCGACCCCTTGTCTTGAAGTCTCCTGGGCGAGCAACTTGCTTGTTCTGGTAGTAATCAGTCAGTCTGCCTATATTGTTTTGTATTTTTCTTGCCGTTCATTCTTTCAAAGAGTATCTTCTGTTCTTCTAGCCGCTCCAGGCTGGTCTGCCCGTCCTTTCAAGAGGAAATTTCCCACCTCTGAAGATTCTGGATGCTGTTCAGGATTCCACCTATAGTCTTATGTAATGCAGAGGCTCCGCAGGAAGCCTCCTTCACTGGGCACCTTGTAGCCCTATTTTAGGTATTCCAATCAGTTATAGGCAGAAGACGGGCTTACAAGCTTTCTATTTCTGGCTATTCCTTTCTCTCCCCTTCCAGTGTCTATTTTATAATGTAATGCAAGGAAAACCAAGATTTATCATTATTCCCCCACCCCCTTTTCCCCATTCCAACCATGTCTCAATCTCTGTGTCCCAGAGCCCTGTTGTTCCAAGGTTGTGCATACATCATTATTTACCTCTGTCCCACTTAGCCCATGCAAACCTGCCTAATTGTTCTCCCATCCGCTTTGGTCTTCCATTCCCCTCTCCCTTTTTGCATATTGCCCCCACCCCCACCCCCAAACTATCCTGTGTCTATTCCCTGCCCTGTGCTCCACCTTTCCATCCCTCCCCTCAGCCCACCCCTCACATCCCAGCAACCAGCAAAGAATCATTCCCCACCCCCTACCCTCGGATTAGTATGGGTTCTTTTTCTTAGTCTTTTACAGTAGTGGTCCTATGCAGTATTTTTCCTTTTGTGACTGACTAATTTCACTCAACAAGATGTCCTCAAGGTTCATCCATGTTATGTGGTGTCTTGCAGCTTCCTTGTTATTCTTCAGGGTAGCATAATACTCTATTGTGTGTATGTACCACCGTTTGTTTATCCATTTTTCAGTTGATGGGCACTTTGGCTGTCTCCGTCTTTGCTATTGTAGATAGTGGTGCTATGAACATTGGTGTGCATATATCTACTCATGTTATGGTTCGTATTTCTTGTGGGTAAATACCAAGTAGAGGAACTGCTGGATCATAAGGTATTTCTATTTCCAACCTTCTGAGGAAGTGCCATATTGCCTTCCAGAGAGGTTGGACCATTTTGCAGTGCCACCAGCAATGCAGGAGTGTCCGAGTCTCTCCACATCCCCGCCAGCATTTATTGTCCTCTACTTTTTTGATCTTTACTGTTATTGCTGGTGTGAGACGATATCTCGTTGTTGTTTTGATTTGCATCTCTCTAATAACTAGTTATCGTGAACCTTTCTTCACATGCTTGTTGGCTGCCCGGATCTCCTCCTTGGTGAAGTGTCTGTTCATGTCCTGTGTCCATTTCTTAATTGGATTATTTGTCTTTTTCT